CAAAAATTCACCCGTTCTGAATCCCCACTGGTGTCCCCGCAAACAGCATAAACTCCCCCTTCACAGCCATTTCCTATATAGTCCCTCCATTAGGTAATTAGCACATCCATTTCTTTCACCTTTGTCATTCTCCTTCACTTCATCCCGTCTCATACTGCAGGCAGGTTTTTTTAATGTTCTGTCATTGATCTTTCATAGCATTTGCTGCGTTTCCCTCTTATCTTTCGGTGGCCTATATGATACAGAACGGAAAACTTCTATTTTATCCTGGGTGGGTTTAGTACAAGGCGTTATCTGGCTAAATTGCTATTTTTCACCTCTCTTCATCCTCTCGCAAAGGCCTTTAGCACCACTGATGCCTTGTACAAACGCAGCAAAGAAGGGACCGTGGTGCCCACAGCCGCAAGGCCATGCCGAAGCCCAAGCTTTGGACTACCACGTTTCACATTAACTGCACGTCGTTTTGGCTTATTTCATGCTAAGGGGACCGTATCCAAATGAAGACTTTTCTTAAAAATCATACAGTGCGTCACAGCAGACAAATAACCCCCCTTTGAAAGCAGACTTGCTGAGATGTGGAACGAGTTGACCGGCGTGCCGTGAGCCGCAGGAACATCCCCACGGCCCAGCACCGGCTGCTTGCGCCTGCCGCTGCCCCCGAAAAAACTGGCACACGGCCAGCTCCCGTCCTCGGCCACCCCGGCTCACGCGCAGTTCCCGCTCCCGGGCTAGACTGCTGTTTAGCAGGAAGGCGTCAGCGCGATCCTGCACCCGCTGACAAGTCCCTTCGCTCTGCCCGTTGCTGCAGAAGTCTGTTCTGCAGCGCACTTGATGCTTACCCACAGGTGTTAAAAAAAAGAAAGGAGAATGGAAGCCAAAAATAGCGCTCTAGTTTGGCATGGAAATTGCACAGCAGTGCTGTTTTCGCCGCGCTACCCAAATAGCTCGTGGCTCACTTCCACGCCTGCGGCAGCTCTGCGGGTGTCATCCTGGCCAACGGCAGCGCTGCGTGTCTTCCCGGTGTGTTTTCCGACAGGAATCGTCTTTCCCTCTGCATGAGTCAGAGAAGCATCCTCCAAAACAGGAACGGCTGCGTACGGGCGTAGGACACCACCTTCCTCCCGGAGACTCAAGGTTTCCACGATAACCGGAAAAATTTTGAAAACATCTTCATGTGTTTGTCCAGCCTCACCCGGGGCTAAAAAAGGCCGACAAGAATCCCAAAACCGAGGAGAAAACAACATTTTGTCACTGTTGGCACACAGACTAGGACGGGACAATATCCTGTTGTTCTTTCCCTCTATTTTTCACCATAGCAGCAGCAGCATCAAGCAGAGAGAGACAAAGGGCCAGGGAAACGGCTAGCACGCGCACAGACGCAGATGTCGTGTGGTGTCGAGCGATGCACTGCCCCTCCGGCACCCAGAGCCTGGAAGTGCCTTTCTGAAGACCTTTCTGAATGTTTAGATACGCTCGACGGAGCATAACGCTCAATTTTTTCTATCAGTGTTATGTATTACAAAGTAATCAATATACTATTTTATTTTGCTCATAAAACATGAATTCTGTACGAAGGGTAGAATGTTTGCCTGCATCAAAAGTGTCACCCCTCTTTATAGACATGAGATACGCACGCTAATCCTGACTAATAACATATAAACATACAAAACCATATCTACTCGTCACAAATGGCCTGTAGACTCTAGGTCTGATCAGGATAAATCCTTGGCCCTGAGCTATCAGGGAAAGATAATGAGTGTCAAGTTAGCATACAGCACCTTGCTCAGAGGCGGGCTGTCGTTACCCTGTCCCAATTGACTTTCGTAGTGATAACTTCTGTGTTATCCGAGTTGTTGCAGTTTTCATTCCTCCAACTTTGTCAATTTTGAATCAAAGAAACATATTTCAGCCTAATAATCTTTCTAAAAATCACCTTTCTGTGCTTTTAATTTGCTATTTATCTTTTCTCTGCTCATTTGTTACACAGACCATGTTAAAATCCTGTAACGGTTGTACGTTTACATATTTGAATGGCAAGGTAGGGTAAAAAACAATGGAACTTCCACTTCTAAATCAAAAATTAGTTTTGAAAATAACACTTCAAGAGTACAGTAAAAGCGTCTGCCTTAACAAAGATGAAGACTTTGGAAGAACCTCGGAGCCAACCAGCAGAAGCTTGTGCTGTAGAACGAGCTTAACTGCTTGGAGGTAGCATCCTGACTTTATTAATATACGTATAGATTACAAATTTAGTTTAAGATGTAGTCCTCAAACTGCACCCGTAACACTATTACATGGTCTGATTCTACATGGGTCTTCTGGAGTCCTGGAGCTTTACAGAAAGATCAGAATCGAGCTTTATATGAGACCTCCGTTAATCTAGGTATATTGGTAACGTTAAACTAAGCAATCTAGGTGCAGTCTCAGAAGTTGTAAAGCTTCTCCTTTTAGATGCAGACATAAAGATTTAAAAAAAAAGACAAGAGAGGCTCTCTGCAGCAAAATGGAAACAAGCTTAGTCACAAGCTGAAAAAAAATGCATTTTTAATCAGCTGCCCTCCCCCCCCCCCGCAAAAAAAAAGAAGAAAAAACAAGAAATCAAATTATGCGTTCTGTTTGGGAGATAAAAATAAGTACTAGAGAAATCAGCTGGGACTTGGCTGGACTCTTATCAACAAAAAATTAGTAAAAATCAAGAGGAGAAGCAAGCTGAACGGTTGGCACCACAGCCGTCGCGCACACTGGTGTTGAGAACATGCCAAATCGACTACCTTGCTTGTAAATTATGGAATTTAATGTTACTAAGAACAAACTCAGATTAGACTTGAAAATTCGCTGCCACCGTTAAGTTTTATTTCTTTGTGGAAGGGAAAAGGTCTCAGCAGCCCAAGGCGAGGTCCCTCAGGCCCAGGGCGGGTTCCAGGCCTGGGGACTCCC